TTAGGTTGTTCCATGTACCCAATTGAACTGCTTCAAACTATGTGCTGCATTTACATATGTATACAAAAATATTTTACAATAATGTTTGTTATCAAAATAATGTTTTTTATGTTTAAAAAAGTTAATTCTCCTCGATTTTACTTTTAAATACATATGTAAAATCATTACAACAATAATTTATCATCAAAATAAATAAATATTTTTTTGTATATATGAAATCTTATACAAAATAAATATATTACATGACGTACGTTATGATTACTTAACTACACTTTTTATAACGATTCGCTTTCTTAATTGAGAAACGAACACTATTCAACACACATAACTTGATAAATTTACGTATCACTAAGCGAAAATTTAAAATTCAATCATCCTCCATACGGAATTAAAAGTCATAAAACTTATAAAATTCTTTACATTATATCGTTGTAGTATAATTAAACTGACTTTACAAGACTAATTCTTACTGTCACTAAAGGTTCTTCAAAGTCTTTCTTCAACTTTGAACATGCTCTTGATCTGGATTAATCTGTATTGGGGAGGGAGGAGAGTGTAAATTGGGGTGAGCTTCATGAACTCAGTAAGAAAAATAGGCAATACCCAAAACAAAGACATGCACACACTCAATCACCAAATCATCTAAATCAGTTAATTCAGTAAATATTTAGAATTTCTTATTTCAGTATCAAAACTCAGGGCATCAACAGTTCCATAAATAACATAATTCAGTATTCAGTATTGCAATTTAAACAATAAATAGTTCAATAGATATTAATTCAGTATTTCAGTATCGTAATCTTTATTCATAACTTTCTATTCCTTCATATCAGTTTATATTTTATTAAAACTAGTTTCACCACGCGATGTCATTTCTCCCGACATCAACAAGGGCAGTAAGGATCCCTTCTACTACGTAAATACGTTATAATTTAGTTCACAATTTATAATTTGTAATGCACAGTATACAGTTCACAGTTCTTATCGTTTTGCCACATCTAGCTTAAGCCGTATCCACAGGTAGGGTTCACCACAGTTACACGCCAAAGGACTACACACACACCCACCCCTCAGTGATACCGATTAAATGGACTTTCTCATCTTTTAAAGATTCTTATGTTATTTCTTTACTAATCATGTTCATCACTAGATAACCTACTCATGCATGCACCTATATATACATCATATGTATTATACATAAACATGCGTATACAATAACCATAATTTATACATCTTATATACACAACCATCAATTTAAATAAATATATATAACACAC